CAGAGACTAATGGGGTTAAACGTAAAATTGGCAGTCTGAAGTTATTATTGAAGACTCTGGACAAGCATTGCATGAAGTGCAACGAGGAGATGACCAACGATGGCAAAGACTTACCTTTGTCTTCCTACGATTTCGTATATCTTCCCATTGACTTCAGGCAACTATCTTCCTTCTTCACCTGTCATTTCTTGTTATTTCTTTCTTTGATACACCAAACATTTGTAGAATGATTATGATAAATTTCTTGTTTCTTTTGATTTTCTTTTCCTAACTGCAGTAATAAATGTAACGTGGGATATGGGTTTGTGAATATGACCTCCCCACAAGGAGCTTGGAGACTATTCAAAGCTTTCCATCTTCAAGCTTGGCAAGTCTTCAACTCCAGAAAGATCTGCCAAGTTACCTACGCTAGACTTCAGGTAGGTCTATATCATTTTTGGTTGGTCTAATTATTTTCTAAAAGTTCTAGATCTTTAATGAAAATCTGCTTTGGGTTTGTGTTAGTAGGGAGTAGAAGCACTGAAGGAGCATTTTAGGAACTCAAAATTTCCAAGGGAGATGGAGCAGTACGAGTTGCCCGTGGTGTTTTCGCCCCCACGAGACGGCATTCATCTGTCGGAGCCTGTTGCCGTCGCCGGCAACATGCGTGTTGGCGGTGTTAATACATCAGCAGATGAAGATGGCGGTGATGAAGGACGCCCATCTGACGCCGCCGCCACCGCCGTAGATCAGTCGTCGGAGGTAGTGCTGTGTGGTGACGGTGATGATGGAAATGAAGAAGACAGCTAGAGTTCAGAAGATGGCGCTATGTCTCTGGCTTTCCCCACTACACGGTGGCACCTAGCTGTACAAAAATCTCAAAGACAAAGCAAATGACGTAGCGTTGGAGGTCGGGAGCCGTCGTTAAACAAGGCTCGCCTCAGGTCAACACGCCCTCAACTCTCTCTCTCTCTCTATTATGGGGGGTTTCTTGGTTTTATGCTTTCTTTGGGGATCGCCCAGGTGAGAGAGAGATGAGAGAGATGAGATATGGTCTCTCGCTCTCTCTCTCTCTCTCTCTCTCTCTCTCTCTCCTGCATAGGGATTTGAGGCGAGGGTTTGTTGATTTATCTATGGTGGTCGTGTAGATGGAACTGTCTGCTTTATTTTCCTGTAATGTTTTCTAGTGTATTTATCATATGTTTAATTATATTAGTTTTTTAAAGTATGGTGGGATGACACGTTTTTACAATATATTTATCATTTTATTTTATTTACATTAAAATGGAAACATGTGCTTACAAGTGTGTGAGTTGGGTTACGACAGATTAACAATATCTGATAAATGTTTTATAAAAATGCCTAATTGTGATTGAATCTCTTAATTTAAGGTTAAGATTATAATATTCTCATTTAATTTTAAATGAATTTTTTGAAAACTAAATATGGGTAAAAATATACCACTTAACCAACCCAAGGCGCATTCGATTAAAGTTATTCTGATTTTATAATCAGTACACTGGGAATCAAGCAAAGGCACTAGTAATTTAGAACTTGAGGGGGTAAGAGGCTTCCATCGCAATTCCACACAGACCTTCTGGATCTTCCACCCCACGTTTCATCCTTATGTAACCATCCTCTCCCCATCCAACTCCCCATGAGTTCCTCACAGTCCAGTAGTCTGTTCCGCCGTCGGTTGTTCCATAGCCGATCACCACCACTCCGTGATTAAGCTCTGTTCCACAATATCCATCGAACACTCCCTGCAAATTACCCACACTTCCAATTTAACAATGCCTAGAGATGGAAGGTTCTATGTGATACAAGCTATTACAACTTGCCTGCCAGTAGAATTGGAAATCTCTCCCTAGGGCCTCGATGGAGACTGACACTGGTTGGTTTGCGACGGCTTGCATCAGAGCATTCTCGTTTTCAGGTACGCTTTCGAATCCATCTATTGTCACTATTGGTGAAGGCATCTGCTAAACCATACAAATGTATGCTTAGTTTGATCATTTCTGGAAGGATGAACCGTATCTTAGGTTTGAATTTCTTCCCGATGTTAGATCAATTACAGAACTTACTCTAGATGAGCGGCAGGATCCTCTTGCGCCACGGTAGGGATAGTTGTTCTCGCTGGCGATTCCTCCATTTCGCCTTATGAAATTATAAGCGGTTTCCATGAATCCTCCATAGCAGCCTCTGTTTCTTGTGTTGCAGTCGAGTAGCTCCTGCTCTGATAGAGACAATAGTTGGTTGGTTTTGATTTGGTTGATCCCTTCAACTGCAGCCACAGCCGAAAACGCCCAACAGCTACCTGCGATACATTTCAAAATCATTGGTTATTTGTGGTTTCAAAAGTCGAAGAATGCTTTTCATGGACATCGTAAGCTCTAATTTATCATATTCTTATAGAGACAACGCTCGAAACTATTAAATGTTGATTTAGTAATCAACTTCTTTTTCCCTCATCGTAAGCTCTAAGTTACCACATCTGCCTTGATACTTGATGTCATTGACAGCTCCTCTTTCCCTCCAATCAATGAACGATGGAAGATCTGTAGCCTTTTCGTACATGAATCCACTGGCACCTTCTCTTCTCCTGCCATGTAACCTCCTGTAGTGGGTAATATTAGAGCGAGCATACAGGTTCACAAACTCATAATTGGACATATCTGCGAATTTGTTCAGCTTCAACTTGTATGGTTTGTTCATTTGATTCACTGTGAGCACATGGTTCGCATTCTCTTTAAACACGTTGTAACGTTTATGCTTCTCCTTTAGTTCCCTGGAGATTGCATGGTGGTGACTCCACCTTTCATAGAGCTTCCATAGACTTCCATCTGTTGCTAACTCCTCCTCATCGAATTCAAAGCTCTTAGCCAATCCTGAAACTAGTACAATCAGAAATGGAACCAAAAGGCATTTGCTAATGGGCATACTGAATTGGAAAAGCTCTTCAATGTAGTTAGAGTAGTGTGGATAAGCAAGCTGTTGCTTGAATTGATTTGGTAATGCACTTCAGCTTATATAGACTTACATTTTAAAAAGTACTCAAGTATTTTTTTTATGGTAACAATAAAATTTGTGTAAATGGGGCTTGGTAGGAGATTGAAAGATGGGAATGTTATTGGATGAATTATTTCTTTGGATTATTACTTGGGGAGTAAGTGAGATTATGGGTGACAAAGAATGTGTTATGAAACACGCACCACATGTAATCTCTCGTACAATATAGACCACATATATATAAAATACCTTTTTTCTAAGTCTTGAATATACGCGCGTGGTGGGTTGGGATTTTGATTACAACTTAGATTTCCAAACAGTTCAAGGCTTTCAGCCAGAAAATGTGGAAAGTGACTATGATGCTGGTGCATCATCACAATGGGATTTAGTTTCATATTATATTTTATCCGGCGAGAATTACTATTGAAATAGCGGAACATGTTTGATTTGTTTCTTATGTTTTGTTTAATGTGTTAACTGTTGAGCATATAGAAGGCATTGGTGGAACATGTTTGATTTGTTTCTTATGTTTTGTTTAATGTGTTAACTGTTGAGCATATAGAAGGCATTGGTTATGTCATGATCCTACCCCAATTGCGATTGATGCCCTTTTAAACTTTTAATGCGGAACAGAAATCTTTTTCAGAAAACGGCAAAATACATGAATCTCTTGCCCTTCTCAGCATGCCATATTTTTCCTCGAATCTCTTTCTGATTTCATATTTTTCTTTTAGTTCAACAAGGTGGGAAGATGGATCGGCTTTCAATACATATCTTCTGCATTCATTGATCTTGTTTCTCCCTAGTTAAGACTTCCTTCTAAATATTTTTATTATGAAAAAGCTTAATTTATAATTAAATTAAACCCTTAACCCAACTCAAGTTGATAATACTAATAATTCATTTGAAAAAAAAAAACAAAAAACTTTTTTCTTAATGCTCTTTAAACAAACTCAAATTTCCTTCTGCAAACCTAACTCTTTTGGTTGCAATTAAAATTTACTTTTTAAAATCAACATGTTTTAGATAATCGAAAGTGTTTTCTAAAAAAATCGATTATCTTAAGAAACAATAATATAAAAAAAATCATGCAGAAAAGTACATTCCCGTTCAAATTTAGATGAGTCTAATGAAACCATGTTGGGATTACATGCCATACATACATTTCCAGGGTTTGGCAAAGTAGTTTCTCCCATACAGTTTGCAGCACATATTCCCTCTCTATATTATGTGTACCAATGAAACCATGCTATCCAGTTATGACAGACAATTATTTATGTCTTTGCATGTGGATGATACAAAAGTAGGAACAAGATTATAACAGGGTTTTGATGATACGACCCTCCAGGACAGGAACTGACGGCCTATAAACTTCTAGGATACTAGCAAACTACATAATTCCTCTACTACCTGTAATAACCATACTACATGATTCTTCTCAAGTGATTATGCAAATGCATTACAAATAGGAAGTCTTGTTGGGTCAAATCCCTAATGACCACATCAGTATAGGAAGCTTGAACTAAGATCTATTGTAGACTTAAAATGATTCTACTTTTCAATCAAAATGGTCAAATCACTCCAACCTCGTTAGAATGACATTTTTCTGAAGACATTCTACATGAAAATATAGAAAGAAACAAGAAACTGTCATCCTACATGGATAAACAAAGTAGGCACTGAATACTCATCCAATGTACAATAGAAAGTTAGAAACTTTGCAAGCATGTCAGGGATCCAAATAAGCATGCAGCAAAAATGAGTATCCATTTATCTCAATAAGAAGCTAAAAGTAGCACAGAGTTATGGAGAGAGTCTTCCCCATGTTAATCAAGATTCAGATGCAATTTTTCAACAATTAAATTGAGCTCCATTGAAGGAAACTCTGCCCAACAAAAGCAACCTTTAGGTAGCTGCATTGGTATCTGATCAGGACATTGATAACTCCAGAACCCCATGGAGTGTGGACGTATAAATTTGAGATGGAAGCAAGGAAGGTATGAACACAACACTGAGTCAGGTTGATGAAAAGTTCAATTATTCAAAAAGCAAAGCTCCAAATTGGAATGAGCATTGTTTACAATTTGATAAGCAGTGAAGTTATAGAGATGAGTAATCAACAATTTATAAGCCAGCCCATTATCATTGTTCTAGAACAGACAATCGACTTGATACCGATAGCAGCAACAGAAGGTAGGGGAAAGTCAAGCAAGAGAGTCGTTCTGTTTCGCTTGTTGCAGTAGCTCTTCTCTAACTCTTCTGATCTCTGCTTCCCTTTCCAATCTCTCTTTCTGAAACAGAAGAGAAGAACGCAGAGACACCTTTGTTATTTCTAATCACCAAAATTTCTACAAATATCGCATTCGGAACTGCCGAAGAGTTGCCACCTAGGGTTTGGTTTTGTTTGGTTTCGTTTTCTTAAATTCATACTCTAGCTTGAACTCCATGAAGGCATCAATTCATACAAATATCGCAGGCATCAATTGAAGAATGAAGAATGAAGAATGAAGAATAAAGGACTGTGAAAGGAGGAGTAGAAGAAAATTAGAGAAATCTGGGGGGGGGGGGGGGGGGAATGGAGAGAGAACCTTTTCGTCTTGACGGAGAGCGATCCAAACGTGGAGTTTATCCATTGACTGCCAGAATACGAAGGCGCCCAATGACATTGCAAAGAACGTGGCCACTTTCACCATCTTCTTCCCTTCAACAAATTGTAATTCGAGAAAGAACGAGAAGAAGGGCAGGCAGGGGTTGGCGATGGAGTTCGATGATTGTGCGGGGAAGGGAATAGATCTGTTGGAGAAATGATCTGAGGCTATGAGTGTATGGAAGCCGCATTTGCACCCTGCATCCGGTACGTCCGATTTCGATGCGTTTACTAAATTATCATTATTAAATGAAGGTAACACTTGAAATAAAATTTAAAAATGTTTTGATTTAATTCTCGATACAACTAAGTTTGTTTGGGAAGAAGGAAGGTATAAATTGCAAAGAAAGGAAAAGAGGGAAGAAAAGAATTAATGAAGCCGATTGTTTGAAGAAGAAGAAAAAGAAAAAGAAAAAGAAAAAAAAAGAGAAAAATTCCATTAAACCTTGAAACATACATTAAAACTATTTAATAAAAAGATAACGTAATACTGAAATTAGACTTCCATGCATCCATGGAAATTACATCTTTTTATTTTACACAACAAAATCCACACTGCAAAGCCTTGCTTACTATATATAACCAACAATTAGTGAGGGCGGTTGGAACTGTGCAAAACCTCAGTCTGTGCAGCAGCGGTACATGATGAACTTCTCCATGGCGCTGCCACATTCAGAGCAAACCACCTTCTCAGGAATGGTGCCGTTGGAGGAAGGCAGAATGAGACGGTTGCAATGCTCGGGAGTGTGTATGGCTTGGAGGTCCTTGCTCATAGCAGGTATCAATCCCAACTCCTTTGCATCCTCCTTCCAACGCTCTTCGTACCCCTCCATCACCTTCATTATCATCTCGGCTTTGGCCCGAATGATGCTGGTTGAGCCCTTGCAGAACACCGCCCACCCCTGGTCCCCACTGTCGAAGCTCAGCATTGTCATTGTCTCTTGCATTATGGGATCTTCCTCAATTGTGTTTCCCCTTTGTGTTTTTGAATACCACATGCTTTCCAGCCTTACCCAGAAGAACCATACTAGGGTCGGATCTGCCAGTGTGTGGATCGTTTTTTCTGCCAAGATTGCCGCTATGTTCTTCCTGATTCTCTCTCCCGGGTTGCTCTTTCCCACGTACAATATCTCCATTTCTATCTTCGCGTCGTTTGCCACTTCTTTCACCTTTTTGCTGAAGCTTCTCACCCATTCCATGTCTTCCCCTCCGCAAATGCATATGTATTTCCCTGTTTCCATCTGAAAATTTTCCTTGCACCCATTAGCTTTAACTTCCTTAGCTTTAACATTAACATAAGATACATGAAGGGGGAATTGAGGTTACCCAGTTAAAGATGAGCGGCTCCACTGAATCCACCAACAGCTCAAGTCTCCAAGTCTCCTCTTTCCAAAGTGATTCCTCTCGAGCGCTTGTGAAGGGGTAGGCCAAGCTTCCCCAAATCCACAGCATATGGACGGCGTTGGTATTCACTACTTTTCCTTGAGGGTCCAGAACCACCAACAAAGGCTTCTTGTTGAAGTGCCACACTTGTCTTATGTACTTGATCACCGCCGATTCGATCAGGGAAGGATGTGCCACCGAGTACCATGGCATCAAATTCAGCAACCCTTCGAACTTGGCATGTTTCTCATCTGTCCATGGGGACTCCACAATTGGCATCCAAACCACCTCGTAATCGCTCTCTGCTCTCGTTTTGTTCTGCCTTGATTCTCTGTAGATTTGGTCCAGCATTGAAAGCTCCACTACGGAAAGGTCCAGGTCAGAGATGAGCAGCAGAACATTCTTCTTTCTTAGCACGTCCAGGGTAGCCTGGGATATGATTAAACAAAATCCAGGTAAAGTTTTTAACAGAGTAGTAGAGTTCGAGAATTGCATTGAAACCGAAATAAAATATGTGGGGAAGTTCAGAAAAGGGGAAAGTGCACACCTTTTCCTTGCTTATACCATCGATGAGGGGCATCTTGTCATCCTTGGAGTAAATCAAAGCCCTGAGGATCTTGTTGTTGTCAAGGTGGGGTATCTCGAAAAGGCGGACCAGGTTCATATAAGCTTCGTGGTGCATCTTCTCATCTGTTTTATCAATCACAAATGGGGAGAAGAGTTAACTCAGTCTCAACTGTGTCTAAATCTCTTTATTTTCAAGTTTAGAGAGAGCAACAGAAGCCTCACGTATGTACTGATGACAAGCTCGAAGCAGTTGTTCGAGGTGCTTGCGAATGTTGTCGATCTTATGGGCCAAACTTGAGAGCTCCCATGTCTCAGATGCTGATGCTAAGTACCTGATGGATTATTGGAGAAAAGAAACTAGGAATGTTTAGTGAGCCGAGTACAATGAAGTTAGATTATCAAAAGTAGGTGATGGTGGCATACTCATGGCCAACCCCGACAAGGCCTGTTATCTGCGCAGCGCAGGCGATAATGCTTCTGACTATCCAGTAAACAGCTGTTGGAATAAGAGTGGTTGCACTCTTCATTTCAGGTGTGTCGGGAGTAATGTAATGGGGAGGAAGCATTTTGAAATCGACGATGCACTTGGCCACACTGATGAGTGCCTTGATGAGTTTGTCAATGGCGTCAAATTTTTGCCTCACAATGTCGATTCTCTCGAATATTTCTGGGAGTTTTTTGAGGAGTGAGATGTCTTTGGCGAGTAAGTCAGATGAGGATTGGTGAACCAATAGCCAAAACTCTCCATAGTTGATGGAAAATGCAGCCAACGCCAGCACTGCCTTAGCATCCCATGGCCAGTTTGTTAACAAATTCAACACTTCCATTGTCACTGTATGGGGCTCCCCTGCTCTTGAACACTTGTACTGTATCTGTTATCATTAAAAACAAGCAAAGAAAACCAGTTCTGAAAAGGAATGGACTTTTCTATACCCAAAGAAGGAAAAAAAAGAATCTCTAGACAGCTCACCTCATTGGAAACTCTATGGATGGTGAATGATACAAAGTCCAGCAAGTCCAGCAAGTCCGTTGGGCTTGGAGAGTTGTCTTCGATTGCCTCCAGTTCAGCTCCTGTTGTTCCCTGGTGGAGACAAAATCATTGAATGAGCAAAGCTTGCATGAAAAGGTTGAATATGCGAAAACAAATTGTTAAAACACATGTATGACATGCCTGCTTATCATTGAGTTTAGCTCGAAGGAAAATTTGTTCAATGAGACCGAGCAAAGGAGTGACAAGAAACTCGAGAGTTTCGTCTGAATGAGTGGCCAAAACTTGCTTCGTCAGGGCAGTGTCATCAGCAACTGCGAAGAGCTGACGGTCTGGTTTCATGAGACCCATCTTACGTGCTGCTGTTGCAAGAGCCATAGCCTTGTTCCTTCAATAGAAAAGATGGAGAGAAGAGTGAGTAGAAAGGAGGAAAGTTGGGTTGTCCTGATTTAGGATGATCTTTGCTTTGAGTTGGGAAGGCTTATATACAAGGATAAAAAGGGATTAAAGGTCAAAAGTTTTGATGAATTTCTACCTTGCTTCCAAGGGGGTTTAAATTACTACAAAAGTGAAAAGAGGTTTAAGATAATGGAGGTATGTTTGGGTTATCAGGATGGATGCTTTTTGTTTCAAGAGTGGAAAAAAACGAAGTTTTTGATCCAGTTCCTGTTATAAAAGCAAGTTGCCAACTGGGGTTTTAGATTCAAGTTTGCCTTATTTTTGGAAGTATAAGATTGGAAGATCATTGGAAAGAAGAAAAAGAAAAGAAAAGAAAAGAAAAGAAAAGAAGGGGCCAGTTAAAAATGATAACACAGACAAAGAGAATGTCGCTTTATAAAGCCAAAATTGGAGCAAATGTTGAGCACATGCATGCAATTTACACGAGAAGGATGAGGGGGAAATGATTATGCATTTAAGAGCAGTACAATATTGATTTGATTTGATTTGTGTTATCAAATTTCAAGTACGTATCTGCCTCAAAAGTTAATATCTGTGCTTATCTCATAATTGTGTTTATCCAATGAGAAAAAGAAAGTTTTTTTTTGTCTTGGCATAGGACGATGGAGACTTCAAAACAAATTTATGTCACTTCAGTTTATGTTGTTCAAAGCAGCAGAATCTTTATATTTCTTTGCCTCCTTGTTTGAAGTTTTGTTTTAGGTTTTCCTAAATCTCCGAATTTGCGATTATAGATTTAATAGATTCTTGAACTTTCAATTTTGTGTCTAATATGTTGTTGACTTTATTGAACACACAATTGAAAGTTTAATCTCCTATTAGACATGGATTCACTCTTACCTTTAATAGATTCTTTAATTTAAGAAATGGTTGAATATGTCAATAACATATTAAACATAAAATTGAAAGTTTGAAGACTTATTTGACATTTTTAAAATTTAAACATCAATACTTTTTCTAGTTTGTTTCATGGACTACTACTTAACCTCGTTTGTTTGTTTGCTTGCTTGCTGGTAGATTGAAGCTTTTCCAGCAGGCAAAAACAGTACATTTCTGTAGCTAAAATATTCTATCTTGGGATGGAAGCCAAGAAGCATTCCCATTTTTGTTGAACTTCAGTGTTTCACCATGATAGAGATGTTTTCTACAGCAAAATAATTCTGTCTGAACTGGCCTACCCCCTTAACCAAAATGCTTAGCTTCCATGCCCTCCCAACCTTTCACAGATGTAGCAAAATTTTGTACGAAATTCAAAGGCAACACAAGTTGAGGTAGAGGTGCTTGATTTTACAGGGTGGAAAGGCAACCCCAGGGGAAGAAATTTAGGAAATTTAGGAAATTTGTGATGGACCATGACCTTCTTCCCACTTTTTCTGGCTTTGTTTAGGTGCCCTGTTGTGGCTCTCCCATTTGTTCCAGCTTTGTTTCTGAATGTGTTTAGAACCAGATCCTTCACCAATATATCACAATTGCTAAAGCTCCACTTATCAATCTCTCCTTCAAATAGCAATTAGCAGCTACTATGCTGTGTTGTGCTTGATGGTTCATAAACCTAGGAATTGACTGAGAGCATCATTTAGAGTTTCCATGTCGGCCACCTATATTATTAAATTATGAGCTTGATGCACAACCTGACCCTACACCAGAAATCAGCATTATGATGATAACTTCAAGTTCTTGAGTCCATCTCAATTATATCACCTCTCTGCAACATAGAAGTTCATAGCTGAGATGATTCCAATTCCAAACAAGGGTCACTTTAGAGACAGGCTGATTCCTGCTAAAACATGTAAAAATGTTCAAAACAAAGCTTGGGCGAGCTACCACAAGGTCTGAGTTCATTCAAGTCAATTGGGCAGTTCCCAGTTTCTAAATAATCTTTTTTAGCTTTTGGCTAGAGCTTTGTTCTTCACAGTTCTTGCGATTACTCATCCAAGTTGGAAATGGAATGTTGTGTTGGCCTAAATTCACGCTTGAAAAGACTCTTAAGCACCATAACAACGACGGCTTAAGATACAATTAATAAACAACCAAAAATAGTTTGCCTACAACGTTCAATAGCTTCTTCCTCTCAATTGACTGTATAAAAACACTAAATTTTTGTGATACAAAACCCTAGAAAACAGTTTTGTACGTGGTTTCTATATACGGAGAATTTAGTGGTCTCAACTTGGTTTAGCCAAAAAAAAGTACACAAAAGGTCAAAACTTAAACAAGTTCTTTACCAACTTTGGTCTTAATGGTAAATGTTAGCGTGTAATTATGACTTCCCACTGCCACGGTCTTTCCTTGGATCTATGGAAGAGGCTTTTACGGGTTCGGTTAGATCTTTCATTTCTGAACTTGGTAGTCCAGTTGGGTCACACTTCCGACCCTTGTCAGCCATTCAGTCTAATTTTCTTCTAATTTTCTTCTAATTTCTAATACCCACCGTGAAAGTGCGTTAATTAATGCCGTCCCATCCAACGTATTATCTAAAAGGGTCTTCATCGTTTTTCAGTATTTTCCATTGGTGAAGGTTTCATAATATCAATCAAAAAGCTCCCTGTTTTCTAGTCTACTCTTAATTTCATAGCTCAGAACCGCCACTGCTGTGGGCAAGACTCGTCATGAAAGACTTCTTCAGTTCTCTCTGCGTTTGCCTCTTCTTTTGTTTCGGGCTTCTCTTCAATAGGTTTGTAGATCTCTCTTTTCCCTCACTTTCAGTTCTAGTAGCTTATCCGGTTGAGTTCCGTTTCTGTATTTAGTAAGAATTGTCTGCGTTCTGTGGAAACTATGATTGTTATTGACTGCCTCCCTGATTGAACGAAGGCCCACTTCGTTTCTTGAAAAAACATTGTGAAGAATTCCATTTTGCTCTAATCTGTTTCAGGGTGTCCTCACAAACTGGACCTGAACGTGCCGCCCTCCCGCCGAGAGGCTGGAACTCCTATGACTCCTTCTGCTGGACTATTTCTGAGAAAGAATTCCTGGACAATGCAGAGATTGTTGCCAAGCGGCTTAATTCTAAGGGTTATGAGGTAGGAATTGGGTAACTGTCTGGCAAGTTTGTTGGTATCATTGGTTGTTTATGATGCAATGTACGGATTTCTTGAGCTTTGTTGTCATGCATGATTGATGATCTCTGGTTTATTTAATTGATGCAGTATGTGGTTGTGGACTACCTCTGGTATAGGAAAAAGGTTCCAGGTGCTTACGTTGATTCTCTTGGATTTGATGTGATTGATGAATGGGGGAGGATGGTGCCTGACCCGGTGCGGTGGCCTTCCTCTCAAGGTGGAAAGGGATTCACTGAAGTAGCTAAGAAAGTTCATGATATGGGTTTGAAGTTTGGAATTCATGTCATGAGAGGAATAAGCACACAGGCAGTAAATGCCAATACTCCTATATTGGACGTTTCTAAGGTACCTTGGACAACTTCCCTTATTTTGTTGATAAAAACACAGAAGAATTGTTAACTGTGTTCGTCATTGCTTCGTAGGGAGGTGCCTATGTAGAATCAGGGAGAAAGTGGTTTGCAAGTGATATCGGGATCAAGTCGAGGTCGTGTGCGTGGATGCATAATGGTTTCATGAGTGTAAACGTTAATTCAGGAGCTGGAAAAGCCTTCTTAAGGTCGCTTTATCAACAGTTTGCTGATTGGGGCGTTGATTTTGGTAAGTTGACTGTCATTAACTATTTGATAGTTGTTTTAACTTGCGAACAATCCATTTTACTCTTCAATATTAACGTTTTAACTGAATATATTTGTTCTTTAGAAACATTACCTGAAACCTGGATACTAACCCGGAATGATCATTTTTTATAACCTTCATTTCCTATGTTTCTGGCAGTGAAGCATGATTGTGTCTTCGGTGACGACTTGGATTTACCTGAAATAAGCTTTGTCTCAGATGTATGGTCTCTTTCTCTGTCTATCACATACATGGCAGTTACACATATGCTAATTCATTGAGTACACACAGGTTCTTAAACAACTTAACCGCCCAATACTCTATTCTCTGTCTCCCGGAACAAGTGTGACACCAGCCATGGCCAAGGCTGTAAGTGGGCTGGTTAACATGTATAGAATAACAGGTGACGATTGGGATACTTGGAACGACATCGTTTCCCACTTTGATGTCACCCGGTAAATTATGTAGCCGTATTTCGATTCAAGAGATTCAAATACATACTATGTCGTTTGAACACATACTTACATGGTCTGATTCATCTCTTCATCAGGGATTTCTCTACTGCTAATATGATAGGTACCACAGGGTTGCTGGGTAAATCATGGCCTGATTTAGATATGCTTCCACTAGGGTGGCTCACTGATCAAGGTTACTCCTTCTCTCTTTTGGGGCCATGCAGTAGGATGGCAATAAGATTGAATAAACTAAAAATGACAGTACAATTAGGTTGAGTAACAATCTCGAGTGTTTTGGTAATATGTTCTTCACCAGGTGAGGAGACAAGGAATTGCCTATGTTCTTCATCATTTCTCTCTGAATAAGATGAATGCTTAATATAAAATACATAAATGATCTGTTTTGAGGGAAACTGTGAATCAAAAGAGATGGAGCTGGGCAAACCATATCTTCAGAAGTCCAAATAATATTTCATTTTTAAGCTTGTATGAAATGTTATTTCAGGTTCAAACGATGGCCCACATAGAAGATCCAACCTTAATATAAATGAACAAAGAACTCAGGTACATTTGTATTCAATAAAAGGAGAGAGTATGTATTATTATCTTAATAATTTTCATTTGACACAGAAATGTTATTCAACTTAATTTTTCAGATGACTTTATGGTGTATGTCCAAATCTCCAATTATGTATGGAGGAGATTTGCGGAATATCGACGATATGACCTATAGTATCATCACGAATCCTACGCTTCTGGAGATTAACTCCTTTAGCACAAATAATATGGAGGCAAGTTCAGCTTTTTCTGTTCTTATAATATGGAAGTTGGGAGACTTTCTGGATATTGACATTTTTACTGTTTATTTTTGTTGCCTTCACAGTTTCTTAAAATTGCTGCAACAACAAAGGTATCAAAATGTAGAGAGCAGATTATGAAATGGCATTTCAGATATTTGAAGCCATCAGTTTCACCTATATTGAGTCTCACCAAATGTGCGGATTCGAACGCTGTTGGTTGGATTACTAAAACTCTCGATCGAGGTGTGGAAAAAATATGCTGGAAGGCCAATCCAGAGCATGAATATCAAACCCCATTATGTCTATATAAAAGAGGATCTCGAGTTGCAATGTAATTGGTTTGATGCACCACTTTTGATTTTCTTATGAGTGTATAGCATTGTCAGAAAACTATGTTCTGCTGCAGAGATAAAGAGGCAACTACTCGCCATGATCAAGTGGAACTTCTATCATCGCGTACTAGCGCGGTGGACGTTTGCCTGGATGCTACTTCGAAAAGAAAGCGTAGTTCTGAAGAGTTCATGAGGGGGTCATTTTTTCCGTGCAGTAGACATGAGAACCAGGTTTGTTGGGTTTTAATTGTTGAATGTTTTTTTTTATCCCTTTCCATTTAAGAGAATTAATATGCATAAATGAGCATTGTAGTTATCTTATTTTGTTCCTGGAATGTTCCCTCTGATTATAGCAGAAGTGGGATTTATACAGTAATGGGACATTGGGAAACCATCATTCCGGGCATTGTGCAATTGTGAAGACTAGCCAAGGTATGAATCCGAGAGCTAATGGAATCTTCAACTGTATATTAGCATTATGATCATCATTCTATGAACATCATTCCTGCAGCCAAAGGCAGTCCGACTGGAGTTCGCTCTTGGATCGCAACAGGAAGAGGAGGTTAGATTCTAAATGGATTTTGTTCATATAGATGTAGCATTGTTGTGTCGACATATTTGTTAAGAAGATTTGGATGTGTAATATAGGTGAGATATATGTTGCTTTCTTCAATCTGAACGATGTGAAGACGGTAATATCAGCAAAGATTTCGGACCTGGGCGAAGTTGTTCCTGGCAAGAAACTGGATCATAGTTCCTGCAAATGCAAAGAGGAATGGAGTGGAAGAGAGTTTGGAGTGAAGTCAGGGTCAATAGGTGCAGCAGTTGAAAGCCATGGTTGTGCAGTGTTTATCATAAATTGTAGCAGCTGATCCAACTGCATAGCAAAAGCAGCCAATAATAAGCTCTGGAGTATGTGGTAAGCTTGGTACTCTTAAAAAAGCCCCCCCCCCCCACCAAATATATAAGCACCTGTTCTAAGCTAAAATTTATTAGAAAGATTATAATAATTTATGTTTAAGATGTAATTTAAAGAGCCTTCCAGAAGGGAGCTAATGGTTTAATCCTCGTAAGTGCTGACGTTCCTATTGTTTCCTTAATTCAATTATTGAGTGCAAATTGCAATTATAAAATAATGAATAGAAATAAAGTCCCACTTTTTGGGCTTTCCAGTTCCCAATTCGATGCACTTCATGGGCCCAGAATCGGCTTAATATCTAGCGGGGCCCACCAGCCCAATATCTCTTCTCCGAAGGCCTTGCGCTCCTCGGTCTGCCCTATAACTACTCCTGGAGTTCGGTCGTTTCATTTACAGGCAGCCAGAAGCTGAATTTTGGAAGCGACACACCTGGTTAAGGCGAAGAGCGGAGAGTAGAGGCGGCATTCCAGGAGCTTCATTCTACTCGCTCCAATAATGTTGCCAACGTTTTGAGTCTCCTCTCATTTTCTAAATTTTTTCAAGATTCTTCCTCCTTTTTCCTTTTCTTTTCATCTATACATGGCTTCAATGCCTATAGTTACATTTGGTTTTCGATCCGCTGAGTTTTCAGGTTCCTCCAAGCTCCACCTTCAAAAAATGCGCTCTCGTTATGTGGTAAATCAGAGATTTCTTGCATCCAAATCTCTAAGACGCACCATATCTTCCTCCGATAGGTTTCATCTTCGACACTCTAATTGCGATCTCGATGCGTTTGCAATTCCGGTCTATACGTCTGATTTAGTGGTTGATAAGCTTCATCGACTTGTTTTGGAGTTCAAGCCTCTCTTGAAGCCGATTGATCGAGTGAAACGACTGTTGCAGTATGCAGCGATTCTTGATCCTTCGGGTGAATCGATTCGACTACCAGAGAATAGAGTGAGAGGGTGTGCGACGCAAGTATGGTTGGATGTAAGAATTGACGAGTTTGATCGAATGAGATTCAAAGCTGACAGCGATTCGGAGATTGCGAAGGGATACTGTTCGTGTTTGATTTGGATGTTGGAGGGCGCGAAGCCATGTGAGGTTTTGAAGATGAGGAGCGATGATTTGGAGGCTGTGAATGTTGGATTACATGGAAAAGCGATATCTAGGGTGAATACTTGGCAAAATGTGTTGATGAGCATGCAAATGAGAACGAACGCTTTGGTATCCAGGAATGAAGCCTTTGATCTGTAGCACTGTTCATCATCGTTGATGGTGTTGGCTCCAATAGAGGCTATTTTTTGGTTAGACTTAACTTACATTTCAGTAACGTACTTGATGACCAATAGAGAGTAGTTTTTGGAAACAGAAAAGCTAAAAACACATCAGCAATGTAACCAATTTTAAGTTTTAATAAAAATATATGACTAGATTGACCACGTATTTCAATGAAACTCAAAATAATATTTAAAGTATATTTTTGTGGGGGGTAAAAAGAAAAGGTTAATATTTAAAGTGGTTTGGATATTAAAGTAAAATAAATATAAGAGTATTTATTTGAAAAGAAATCCTTCCTACAAAAGGTTGCTTACAAAGTTTTAGAACCAAAATAACGGGACATTAAAAATGGTCAGAGATTCCAAATGAGTGATACACACTAGGATTAGGAACGGTGGCAATCGATATAAATAAAGTGGAAGATACAAGGCATCCTGACCGTCCAACATGTTGAAGTCAAGAGGAGAATGAACGCCGGGTAATTGCCCACGTGGCTACTGTCAGTGCGCCGTTTATGACTCTCGTGCTCGGCGCGTGGGAACAACACCCATAATCTCGACGGCTCCCACTCACAGTCCGTCCTCCTCCGTGCCATAAAAAGAAGACGGAAAAAAAGATTGGGAAAAAGAGAGATTCTACAAAATCCTTCTCCCTCTTCTCACAACGGCCGTGTTTCCCTTTCATATTTTCCATCGTATGTTCTTGAGCTCCGGCTCCATTAACGGAGCCTAGCTCATTCTCCAAACTCTAATTCTTCGTTTAGATCTCTCTTCTCCTTCTATTTTCAATTCTTGCGATTTGTGGATCTCGAGCTTAAACCAAACCAACGGGAGAGAAATGTCAAAACCGTGGGGCGGAATTGGAGCCTGGGCTGCTGATGCCGAGCGTGCTGAGGCTGAGGAACGAGAGGCGCAAGCTGCTGCGGCCGCCTCCCAAGCAGAATCGAAGAATTTCCCTAGCCTTAAGGAAGCTGTCAACACCAAGCCCAAGAAGAAGAAGATGACGCTGTCGGAATTCACTATGGGGACCTTGACGGGTCCGGGCGCCGGCAGTAGGCAAACAGACAGCAAGGGCTTGACGCCGGAGGAGATGCTTCGACTTCCGACTGGTCCCAAAGACCGTTCTGGTGAAGAAATGCGTCCTGGCCGCCTTGGTGGGGGATTTCCCACTTATGATCGGCACAGTATGCCTGCTGGTCGATTTCGGGACCGTGACGAAGGCGATGGGTCTTGGGGTGGTGGTCGACGATCGTTTGGTGGGTTCGATGATGATCGTAGGGATCCACCTCCTAGGGCTTCCAATTTCGATCAACCTTCAAGGGCTGACGAGGTGGATAATTGGGCAATGACTAAGAAATCTCCCACATTGGCTTCAGAGCGACAGAATAGGTACGGGTCGCTAGGCGGTGGCATGGGTGGAATTGCATCCAGGGCAGACGAGGTCGATAGCTGGGCCAGTGCGAAAAAACCTGTTCCATCGAGATCCTCCACTTTTGGTTCTGGTTACCGTGACCGTGAGGTGAATGAGCATGATCGCTGGACTAGAGGCAGTTCACGTGATAGTGACACAGAACGACCCCGGTTAGTATTGGATCGACCCAAAGCTAATCTCCTTACAAATGAAGCAACAAGGTCGAACAAGCCAAGTCCTTTTGGAGCAGCAAGGCCAAGAGAGGAAGTTTTGGCTGAGAAGGGGTTGGATTGGAAGAAGCTGGATACAGAAATTGAGGCCAAAAGAACCAGTAGGCCAACCAGTGCTCACTCTAGCAGACCTTCGAGTGCTCAATCGAGCCGTTCAGAGGGTCCAGGATTGCAGGGCGTAGAAAATGTGGTGAAGCCGAGGCCAAAAGTCAATCCATTTGGGGATGCCAAGCCTAGGGAGGTTTTGCTGGAGGAACGTGGCAAGGACTGGCGGAAGATAGATCTGCAACTTGAGCGTCGTGCTGTTGACAGGTCCTAATTTCACTTTTAACATTGTTAAACTCTATCTCTCTCCGTTGTAGTTCGGTGCAGGGGATAATTTCTTTGTTTTCTGATTGTTATTTGGTTCTTGGAAGCAAATTCTTCCTGTATGAATCTAGCTGGAGAAATTCTATTGAGGATTGGGTTTAACTTGATTTAAAACTTTGCAAAGGTTCTGACAGCGAGCTGCCCTAGTACTTAGCTGAGTGGAGCCATTTATTCCACTAAACTTGCTAATGATCTATATTTATGTTAAAAAGTATTATTAGGACCTATGGAACAAAATTATGAAGGGCTAGGAGATCACCTATATATAATCTTAGAGTTGGAACTTGAGTGATCATATATGGTCATACAGTTCCATCCAGCTTGTTTACCTTGCTGCTGGAGTTGTTGCCTAGTGAATGATTATCATCAGGAAACAACAATAGCAGAAATGACAGAAGGTGATTTTCTATTATGATCGCTTTTAGGCTTAGTTTAGAGTTTTAGGTATTCAGTTAGAAATTTGGTTTCAATCCTATATGCCACTTGAGCGAGCTCTCATATGCAGTTTATTTTGGCCCTAATACTTCGATTTTTTAACTTTGCTTAAAAATCTAATTTTTCTATTTGCCTCTAAATTTTGATATTGGTTTTGAATTTTGACATAAACCTGAGGTCCTCTATTCCTAAACCATCAAATAAGTGAATACAGCTTAAAGCACAATTCTACATGATGCCACACCAATTTTCTTTTAATAAATGCGATTTTTAAAATTTAGAGATATATGCACACACGCCCACAAACAAGTTCATTAATTAAAAGAAAGAGGACATACAAGAATGGACATAATGATATCCCCAACCAGCCAAAGGGTTACAAGAACCCTCAGTTGAGCATGAAATAGAAGAAAACTGTCTGGCTTCATCCTGAGGATCATAATGAAAAGAGTCTCTCCCCTAAAAGATCCTTTTGTTTCTTTATTACCAAAAACCCTCAGTTGGCATAAATTTTCATGCATCAAACCCTAAGTACAAAAGTCAATATGAAGTGAGCATGAAATAGAAAACTGTCTGGCTTTGATCTTTTACTTGGAATATTCTTATATTTTTTTTTTTCTTTCCATATGGACTAAATTCTGCTATTTTGATCTCAAGCCTCAAAATCTTCTTGGACTGTCTGAATGGATGGTCTGAGAGAAGTAAATTCATGCAGTCAAAGACTTAATAAGGGAGAACAACACTCCAATCAAAGGTAGTAAACAGATTGACCTCAAATATTTGAGGAGAAAGGGCAGTGGATTAAAATGTGTCTTTGTGATTCAATTGCTTCTTTACACAGCGCCAATTTGGATTTAGGATGAACCAAGGACACCTTTCTTGTAATCTATCATAAGCATTGAAACATGAGTGATTAAGTTCCCGAAGAAGAAATTTAATCTTCTTGGTGCAGAAGATTAAATGCCTCCAAAAAGAATCCTAGCTAAGGGTCCAAAGAAAGTCTCATGTATATGCTGTAAAATGCCTCCAAACAACTCTTGGGAAATCCCCAGCACAAATTTAAGGTTTTGAAAAGGCTACACCAAAAAAATTTAGTGATAAACGCCAAACTTGATTTTTATTCAAAGTCACCAAAATAGTATATTTGCACAGCCTTTTTTTTTTCTCCCTGATTGGAAAGTAATATTTCTTTTAAAGGCATGCATGACAAGCCTCAAGTATCTTTCCATGTTGTGTTATTATTGTCTCACCACATTTGCTTTTGTCTGTTACAAATTACGTCTAGTATACTTCGCTGCAACAAGCCTCAAGTATCCTTCTTCACTGCTAATTTATATGCAGGTGATCTCATCAACTCCCATGATTAATTCAATTTGTAACAACAGAATAGTTTAGGCATGGATGA